TAGGAGACTTGTGACAAGAAGGATAACAATTGAAGTGTCAGAAACTCACATAATGGTCATGTAAAGTTGGAAATTTCTATCCTCAGTACAGGTAAAGCAATAGAAGCTCACAGACATTGAGCTCACACACCAGTCATGTGACAGAACCAGGTTGGAAGTTCACTATGTGGCAGGAGCTGGTAGGAGCTGTTCTGTAACATTTTCAGGGGAGATGAACTACAGGAGATGGTGGGCAGCCTGGAGGGAGCTGATTTTGCTTCTAAGTTTGATGCTTTGTCTAGGTCCCAGTGCTTCCACGAATTTTTATGTGTGTTTATTTAGCACTTTTCTGTGTGTCTGTGCTGGGGCAGGACCTCAGGGTCTGGGTGCTCTCCCTTGGCTTCCCTCAAGGCTAGCACTCCACCACATGCCACAGCTCCACTTCTGGCTTTCTCGTGGTTAACTAAAGATAAGAGTGTTTCAGACTTTCCTGACCCAGCTGGCTTCAAACCATGATTCTTAGATCTCATTCTTCCAAATAGCTACAATTATAGACATGCACTGCCAGCTTCCAACTTCTTTTTGTCTTTTCATAGAACATGCTCATTGTCTTAAGTGTTAATATCACAGTCATAATGCAATGGTATGAAGCTTCTCTTTCAGATTTGGACTAAGGACAGAGGTAAACATTCAGATCATGATCAAGCAGAAATTCTAATAGCTATACTCTTCTGAGTATACTTTTATGAAGACTTAAGGAAACATTTAGCACTCCATCAGCTTGATACTCTTGAACTAGCTGGAAGGTATTACTGTTTGCTCCAGCCTTTTAAAATATCATGATGTGTGCCATTTCACATGGAGCTGATGACAATCTGGGTTTCAGGGGCTAACAGATCATGGTTCTTCTCCTTTTGCCAGATGTTTTTTGGTGGTGATAGGAATTGAGTCAGGACTTCATTCCTGCTACCATGAACCAAACCTCAGCACTTCTTGCTTTTTTGCATTTCGCTGTATTTTGTTTGTTTTTCAGATAAGGTCTTGTACATTTACCTGGTGCCAGCCTCAGCAATCTTCCTGCCCCTGTATCCCTTCCAAGTATCTGGAACCCAAGAGCCTTATTTTTTTTTTGATAGAATCACACTAACTTTTCCCAGGTCAGCCTGGGCAAAAGTCTCCATGTCCCTTATCTGGTGTTACAGGTTTGCACCACTATGCCTGACTGTGGGTGACTTTAAATCATTTATTGAAGAGAACGGATATGTGTATATGTGCATATGTGGTGACATATGCCCATGTAAATATACCTAAAAGCATACTAAAAGCCTAAAACTCTTTATCATTCTCTTTGGTTGAATTGAGTGCTGTTGGCAGTAGCATGTCCCATTTTACTATTAAAACTGAATAACTCCTAAAAGGGAGTTGCTTTTGTGAGTCAACATTTAGCTATCTGGCAAGGCAAGGTCCCTCTGTCCATGCGCTCTCCCATGGACTCTGTGCCCTGCCTTTTGTCAGGCATTCTCTTCTTCCTAGTCCTCAACAACATTTGTGATTGCCCACAGCTGGCCCACTGGAAGAAGAGCAGTTTGGCTTTCCTGCATTTAGTGGCATCTCTCGCCTGACGTGGCTGGTATCCCTCTTTGGTGAGCTTTCTCTGGTGTCTGCCACTTTGGAAGAGCAAAAGGAGAAGCAGTATATGAAAATGACTGTGCATCTGGAGACCAAGGACAAATGGTAAGTTGTGAAAAACCTGATGAAAAGGAGACTTTGGGATGTATCAGTTGTTCACAAGGGTGACAACAGAGAAACCCCAAGTGGCACAAACAGGTGTTCACTGCAGTAGAACTGTCAGCTTCCAAAGACTAGAAATTAGTCCCAATCTTGCTGCCTTCATTGTCCAGTAAGTGAATAGTTGCTTACAGAATTGAAGCATGTTGCCAAAGTCATGTGAGTCCCTAATAGAAGCTTTACTGTATACTTACTTATTTGTGTACTCATTTTACAGATGGGCTTCTCTCTGCTTTTCCCAGGAGGGTCCTGATCCGTTTGGCTCAAGTGATCCTCCTGCCTCAGTCTCCCCAATAACTGGGACTCCAGGCCTGCACCCCTGTTCCCAGCTCCCTTCATGTAGCTTTACTGATGAGGAAATGGAGGTGTGAGGAACATCTTGACATTCTGCAACCCCTCAAATCTGAAGACATGATAAACATTCTGAGATAGACCAGACTGTTTATATTACCTGAAGTTTGTTTATATCCAATGTCTCTTAGCTATCCTAGCTAAGAGAATGCAGTCCTGGCTTCTGATGGTGCCTTGGAGGAGCATGTTGGCATGTTTCCAGTTATTTTCTCTCTCCCTCCAGCTTATCCCATTCTGCTAGAATGAGATATTTTAGCTCAAACATGGCATGTGTCAGGAGCTTATCATCACACATTAAGAGTTACTGATAACTGTTGTCTTAGGACAGAATTCCTTAAGTTACCTTCAGACAGTGTAGTTGAGTGAATGAGAACACAGGGTGATCATGAAAGTTGCCCATCAAATGCCTAGAAAAGCCGGGTTTGTCCCTTCAATCCCTGCTGTACAAATGCAGTATTAGGCAATGCTTCATGAGTAGCATGGCCTGGCCTTTTACAAGCATTTTCTCACTCAGTCTTTATACTGACTGAGTGAGACTTAGACTCAGAAGTGAAGAAACTTCCAAAGGATGCTGTTAGACTTTCCTTGTCTGTAACAAATAACTGAGAAAAGTTGTTTCAATAAGGAAAGGCATGCTTTGGCTCCCTTCTGGCCTCTTCAGTCCAGGCTTGGTTGTGATAGGCTTGTGGTGAGTCAGACATCATGGCATCAAGAGTGAGCAGTAGCATCCCTCATACAGCCAAAGAAGACTGCACAGTATAGGAAGGGGCAGGACAGACACACCCCCAGAGACCTACTTGCACTAGGCCCCCACTCCTAAGCTTACAACGCCTCCCCAACTAGGTCCACAAGCAAAGGAACAATGCTATTTCCTATTCAGCCACTAGTTGATATAGGGCTCTGTAGTCCTCATTCAGGTTGCCTTTCTGTAGCCCCCACGCTGTGTGCATTCTCCCCAGCCATGCCAGAAGCACACAAAAACAACTATGAACCCCACATGATACTGTCTGCAATTCCTCACAGCCCTCAGTTAGCAGCTGGGAATGTGTCACCTACCCCAGATCTCAAGGGAGTCAGAGTTTCAAACTCTAGTTCCTCCTAATTTACTGGCTGGTTTTTAAATTGTGTAAAAGTATGCATTCAGATTTTGTTCAAGCCAAACTTATGCTGATATCCAGGATCTTAAGTAGTGACAAAAACACTTGTATTTAGGTCCTCAGGGTGCTGTGGGAGGAGGATTGCAGCCCTGTGCCATGCCTGGTTCTTCAGTACTTGCTCAAAAATTGCCACCTCCACAGTGCATACAGACAGGTGCTGACACAGGTGTGGAAGTGGCTGGACAGCTTCCTGCAAAGAGGATAAAGAAATGTCAGTGCTCTGTTGAGCGAATGTTTGCATCTGTAAATATTCATGAGTGATGTCAAAGAGGAGCCCCTTCAGTGAGCCCCGGCCTGGCTCCGTTGGACTGGGTGGCATCAGTTGCTGTACACACTCAGAACATGAATGGACCAGGCCCTTCCTTTAGGTCAGAATTTACCTAGGAAAACATTCTCACTATTGCACAGGCACACATCACAGCTCTTCCCTACTATCTGGAGAGAAACAACCCAGAAAAAGGGAGTCACACTTTGAAGAAGTGATGTTCATCTTACTTTGATTTTCAGGAGCTCTGATGTGGACTCCAGTGGGTATCTGAATGGAAACAGAGGAGTCTCCTTTTGACCCAATAGTTTGTGTTTTCTGGCATGACTGGGTTGAGTCTTGAGAATGTGATGAGAAGAATACTAAGAATTTTCCTCATGAAATGTTTACACTGAACTAGAAGCTTGACAGAAGTGCAGTTGGTATTTGGATTGCCTGTTTTCCAAGTCTAAACCCTCTGGAAGGATCAGAAAAACTCCAGATAAAAAGTACTGACTAGCCAGGTACTGGTGGCTTGCTTCTGTAATTCTTGGTATTCAGGAGGCTGAGCTCTGAGGACACTATATTAAAAAAGAAGCACCAGCAGGCAGTCCATGAGACTATTATATCTAAATAAATACCAAAAAAGACATTCACAGTTGCGGCTCAAATGGTAGAACACTAGCCTAACCTTTAGCACATAGCGTCAGGGACCTGAGTTCAAGCCCCAGAACCATCACAAATGAAAAGGCATGAATGAGAAACTTGCTTCCACAAAAGTTATTGAGTAGATTCTGCTATTCTGGGCCAAATAAATCAAGAGCAGATGGCAGTAAAGATGGAAACACAGTCCCCAATGGCTTGTGGAGTGGTGGACATCTGGAGCCAATAAGCCAATGTGTTGAGCCACAGCTGCAAGAAAGTTGGGTGCACAGTGAGGCCATGTCTACAGAAGATGGGCAAGCTTCCCCACCTGCTCCCTACCATGCGCTGTTTAAAATGAGGATTCTCTTGTCTTTTTGCAGTCCGCTATCTTGGATTGAGGAGAAAGGGCCTGGCTTCCAAAGAAACAGATACTTAAGCTTCCATTTCAAATCTGGATCTCTGGAAAATATACCAAATATAGGTGTCAACAAGAACATTTTCCTAAAAGATCAAGATCTGTTTGTGCAGAAGCTCTTGGGCCAGGTCTCTGAGAAGGAACTGGCTGCAGAAAGGAAGCGTGTCCTACACTGCCTGGCTCTGGCAGACGCCGTCCAGAGGTGCTGCCGTGCTGAGAAGTAGGAGAGGAAGTGGTGGGCACCACCAGCACCAGATCACAGTGGGATGTTCTCAGCTGTTTGCCTCCATTCTTACCATTAAACATGTTGGAGAAAGAGGATATGTGTGCCATTCCAAGCTGTAGGAATGAGATTTGGGGATGAACCCTGGGGTGGAGACAAGGAAAGTACTTACTATGGTGGAGCTGAATTGATTGTGCCATACTCCTCCTTCCATTTTTTATTCCACACCACCCTGGGAGGTGGATGGTTGTTATATTACCTTTTGGAAATTAAAAAGGATTAAGTCTATAATGTTATAACATGAAAAGAAAAGGTACATCAAATCATTTGTCAAAGGCCTGGATTCTACCTGCAGCCCTCACACAGTGGTCACTTCGTCAGGCCAGGCAGGAGGAGGCAGGCATTATGTCATCAAGATAGAGTGCAGGATCAGCACCATGGTTGGCAGGACCAGTAGCATGGTCCTGGTGATGGCAGTGGACACCATGTTGCCTCAGTGCTTCTGTTGGGTGGCTTTGGAGCAGGAAGCCTTGGACTCCATTTCCCATAAAAAAGCCCCCCCATGGCTCCAAGTTGGGCTGAATGCATACACCTCCGTGGCCCTACATGCGTGAACAATGCCAGTGAATATAATTCACCATCATCAGAGCTTTGGGCAATGACTATGACATCTTGAGCAAGGGAGATGGTGCATATGGGAAAAGATAGCATACAGGGAAGGGAGAACCCAGAATCTAGAGGCAGAAGGATGCCAAGGGTCTCCCTCCCCTGCCCAAATTGCCCACGGTGGAAACACTCGTCCACTTCCCTGTTCCTTGAAAAGTGAAGGCCTCCCATCTCCACATTTCTCCACATCACCAAATCCAGGTCCAGGCTCCAGCCCTCTCCACCTACTCTCCCCATGCTCCATGGCACCAGAATGATCTCAGCCCTAGGATCTCAGTTGCGTTCATTCCCCTCCATTAGCATGATCGCCGTGTGTACTTTCCACTTCTGCCTCGGTGAACATGGTGCAGAAATCACTGGCTCTCCATGCCCTCGCTCCTCATTCCATCAGCCCATTGAATGATTGCAGAGAATGGCCTCAAATCCTCTTGGACCCCAAGCTGCCACATGTTCCCACTCTCCAGAAGAGTGGAGAGCTGAGGATACAGGACACTGAACAAACAGCCCATTCTTTTCAGCTTCCCACCTTTCACCCATCCTCTCATTAGCACACAAACATTGTGGCAGGCAGAGCTGAATTCAGCATCTCGCTCTAATGCATGCATGTGAGGACCCATATGGATGCACATTGATGCGTGCTACTGTGTCTGTGTGGATGAATGTATGTCCATATGGTGTCCATGAATGTATGTGAGGTCATGCATATACCTCTCTCAATAGGTGTGTTGAACATTGGAGTCTCATGGGTAGGCTTCCAAATAGAGAAGACCTCGTCTGTGTCTACACTTGTGAAATTCTAACCCCATGTGAAGCTCTAATCTTGCATTTCCTTTTTGTTTCTTTTGTTCATTGTTGGCTTGCATGGATTTGAGACAGAATCTCTTGCCTAGGTCAGACTAGCCTTGAACTTGGTATCCTCCTCCCAGAAGCTCCCACTGCAGGAATAAGAGGTCTAGACAAGGACAACTGGTTGGCAGTTTATTCTGTCTAGACACAATGTACAGGGGCTGAATGTCTACAAGAGTGCAGTGAAAATGATGGACACCAGCTCTAGGGTTCCCAAGCCTTGGATGGACACAGAGTCCTTTCAGTGTATGACATCCTCAAGCAGGTGCTGGATGGAAGCCCTAGGAGTGAGTGGGTGACTGGAGGAGGCAGGCAAGCACAGGCACTTGTACATGGGGAGACAATTAAACTGGAAGGAGGGATCGGATGTGAACCCAGTGTGTCCTCATAACCACAACATTAACTGGACAGAGGACAGAGGTTGGAGTGTGTCTAGTTTTTCTCCTGACCTGCCACGGGGCCCAGCCAGCACTCAGGGGCCATTTGCAGAGGTCTGGTCTGAGGCTGAGGCTCAGAAAAGGGGACCTCCATTGGTGCTGTCATCTCCGGAGATGATGTCAAAAGGGCCAGGTTACCAGCACCCACATTGCTGTGCAGCTGAGCCAGCTCAGTTGTATGGAAAGCTGAGGGGCAGCAGGCTGTTTTCCTGCTGTTGCCTGCTATTCCGCAGAACAACTCCACAGAGAGAGTTTGATTATAGTTCGCAGGCGCTGGGTAATCCCCTGTCCGGGTCACCTGAGCAGAACTCCACCATGCATCCCACAGGTGAATCAAGGAGGAGGGAGGGTGAGTCCTCTCACCTACTACCTTCTGGCAGCCTCAGATCCCATATGTGGGTACATTCATGAGTGTGTGTGTGTGTGCACGCATGCCAGCCCAGCCCAGGCTATTTTCATGGTATGACCCCAATCCTTTTCCCAGTGTGCTGCTGTTTCCATGTTTGAACTGTGTCTCATTTCTTCACCCCAGTTTGGGTGGGTTTTAGCTCCAACTGATCCTGATCCCTGCAAGGCAGGATACCTGCAGGGAGGCAAAGCGGAGAAGCTAGTAGACTACTTAGTGCCTGCCCTGCTCTTCGGAGCTGCCTTGTTTATCCCAGTATTTCTGGGGGACATACCACACTTTCATGACTGCCCATCCGTATTGAACCTGCTTTTCAATAGGTAAGCGCCACCTCTGATCCTTGGGACAGGCCCACTGGCTAGGCCTTGGCATGTGCTGCACCAGTGCGGATCTGCTTGGATCCTGGCTACTGGCATGCTAGGACTAACATCCTCACTGCCTGAGGCTGGAGTGGTGGGATGGGCCCTGAACAGGCCTGTCCACATCATGACCTTACACCCCAGGGAGCACAGGGCTGTGGGTGGGCTGGGAGAAGCCCCTTCTCTCATTGAGGCCTCCTATGAATAAGACCTCAAGAAAAGCATTTTCCAAATTGACAGTGGTGGTTGATATCCCATATGGGTGTCCTGACCTATGTGAACCTCACTAGGAAGCACAAGGGAAACCCTGACAGACCCTGTGCTAATTCCAGTGTGTGGGAGGAAGGTACTGGGCTCATCACCTTGTATGGGGATGCATTTCTAGACACTTGGAACCACTCAGTGAAAAGAACAGGGAAATCGTTGTTATCCTGAGTTCCATCCTGTGCCCAGAGAAACCACTGGGACTGTAGACTTCACATGTAGACACAGTGCATGTGACATTCTCATGTTGACCCCTAGGTACAGCCATTTCCTTGATTATGAGGAGAAGGCAGGTGTGCAGGAGCACCTGCAGCAGTGAGTGTGTCTGGGGGAGGAGGGAAGGCATGTGTCATCATGGTGGGTGCAGTGGAGAGCTGGCCTTGGAGAGGCCTGGGCAAAGGGAAATAGCAGCCACTCCTAAAGGAATGCTCAAGTCCAGGTAGAAATGTGTCCACGCAGGGAGTTAGTTTGGCTTGTTCTGTACTTGAGAGTGTGGGAGAAGCCTCTGGCACTGTGACCAGCCAGTCCCATGTGCCTGCCCTGGGAAACCTCAGGACCACACAGAGCAGCGAGGCCTACACTGTGCCGTCATGGACAATCCTCTAGGATTCTGTGAGTGCATAAGGGCCAGGGTGTGCTGTTTTGGTTGAGAGTCAGGCAAAGACCAGTCACACATGGCTCTAGGACATTGAGGCCTCTAGAGGCTACATGAGTGAGGACATTCTGGGTTCTGGGGACAAGGCACCCCAGGGCTGACAGTTTGAGGAGCATGCCCAGGGATACCAGGAGCTGGGTGTGGGTGGGGGGTTTTACCTGTGATGTAGGTGGAGTAGCAACCCTTGTGTAGACAAGGTCTTTAGTGCAGCCAGGTGACCAGGCCTGCCATGGGCTATGGAATGGAGCAGGCCCAGGAGCCCAGCTCCCACACCTGTGCTTGAGGGGGGTCTGAGAGGAGGAGAGGCCCAACCTCTAACTCTGCTGCTTCTCCCACTACATCTAGAGCTTTCATTCATATTGGGCTCATGGATGAGGGAGTACCCAGAGGATTTCACTGAAGCACTGGACATATCTGCCTGCAACACATGGTAACATATCTAAACTGCAATGTGCCTGGCTCTGTGGAGGAGCAGCAGGCCCACACATGCATCCCAAGCAGCCAGAGCTGGAGGGTGAGTAGCATGGGCTGGCAAAGGACAGAACAGGTGGGGGATTCCAAGCTTTCTCCACCTGAAGGCAGCTCCCAGCCTACCATGGTGCCCTCATCAGGACAGTCCAGGAGCCTGGATGGCTTGGCATGAAACCTGTCCTTGCTAGGCTTCCTGGGGTTGAGTCCAGGGACCAGGGCTTCTCAGCAGGCAGGGGTCTCGTGGCCTTAGGAATGACTGAGGGGAGGGCAGTGCTGTAGGAGATCGTTGCTTGCAGCTGTTCCACCAGCTGCAAGGCTTGATGAGAAAACCAGTGTACAAGAGTCACCTGAACCACTGGATCCAACACTCCGCATAGAAGCAGGGCTACCATGACAGAGCTGGAACTAGCTGCAGCCTCAGAGGCCCCCTCAGCTCCAGGAGCTGCAGTGGAGCTCCAGCGAGAACCCAAGGCAGACGGATGTTCTGACTCACCTGCACCATCTTTGACTGAAGAGATGAAGCCACCTGCAGGGAAGCCAATGGCCCACAGCCTTCCACCATCAACAGCATCAAGAATGGATCTTGACCTGCAATATGCAGATCCTCTCTCAGGTGAAAAAACAGTGGCTGCTCCCCCATTGCCAGCGGCACTGAGCCCAGTTGCTCCAATAGCTTTAGAGCCAGCAATTGATGTGCCAGTGCATGCAAGAGAAGACAGGATGTCAGTGCCCACTCCAGAACCCCAATGGCCTAAAGACCAGACTGACCCAGTTCTACCACACATCTAAGAAGGAGAAGCATCTGCAGTTCAACCAGAGGCCCCAAAGCCCACTGCAGGGAACAGCTCAGGGCCAGAGCTAGAGGCTGCAGGAGAGGAAAGATGGGAGTCTGCTCTCCTTGCACCTGGGGAGCAAGTGGAGTCTTGCCCGCTTGCTGAAGAGGCTGACTGCCTTGAGCCTGTTGCTGAGCAGCCAGAGCCACCCGCACAGGAACCTCTGCCACCCAACCGGGATGTAGCACCCATCCCATCTGCACAACTGGACACTGATGCAGGCTTAGGAGGGGACTCTCATCCAATTAATGACTTGGATGAAGACCATGAGCTGCCAGTGGCTGAAGACACCAATGGTGCTCTGCCCTGTGCTGCCGAGCCAGAGCCTGCACACCTGCCATCTAGCAAGGCAGACAAGCCAGCTGTTATGCACCCAGATCCCTGGGACTGTTGTGACATGGGAGATTTGCAGATTTCCTCCAGGGAGCCAGCCTTGATTTCGATGATGGAGTCAGACCATGATGAGGACACAGCTCACGTACTAGAGCGGTTGCCCGACCTGAAGGTGAAGCAGTTGTCCCTCATGGCGGTGGTGAGTAGCTTGGCAGGGCTGGGCATGCGGGCTTTCCTTTGCACCTCTTCTGCCACACCTGCCTCAGGGCAGAGTCACACTGACCCTTTGTTTCCTCTCTGCAGAAACTGTTCAAAGGGCTGATCCCTGAGCAATGCTTGACTTACCTATATGCTCAACCTGACCACGAGGAGGGTCTGGAGCACCTGGCACCCACTGTGCTGGCCATCCTGGAGCACTGTGAAAAATTGCACACCTGTGTGATCAGCACATGCCTCGGGGACCACAGCACAGAGGCAGCAGAGAGGGCCCAGGTGTTGGAGCACTGGATAGACGTAGCTTTGGTATGCGCAGGAGGCGGCCCCATACCCTTCTGCTCTTTCCCACACTCACCAGGTGCTGCCTGCCCACTCACAGCCACTGCCTGAACCCTCAAGCCCTCCTTGTGCTCTGCCCTGGCTTGCACTGTGTGCACTCCTGCTCTGCTTCCACTGCCATTCCACCCTCTCCCCTATGCTCTCCGCATTCAGCCCAGGAACAAAGGCTCAGCCCCAGGGCCAAAGCAGGACCACAAGGAGCTCCCTCCACAGCTCCTCATCCCTTCCTCACCCGTAGGAGTGCCACCTTGTAAGGAACATCTGCACCCTCATTCCCATCATGTGTACTCTGCAGAGCAGCCAGCTCCAAGGCCGGAAGAAGACGTGGGGGTTGGTTGGTTGGCAGGTGGGTGCACCTTTCTCCTGGGCAACCCTTGCTTCCTCAGGAGGCAAGCTTGGGTGCCTGAGGAGGTTGGAGGAAGTGATAGGATTAGGGATGTCCACTTTCCTGTCAAGCTTCCTCCTGAGTGTGGCCTGTGATGAGGCTGCCTCTCTACAACCTGCCTGCCTGGCACCGCCAAGCCAGGCCCTGGCTTGGTTTCTGTGTGGCCTTCCCATCCCAGGAGGGAAGCCTTGCCAGTCAGGTGGGTCAGCGGGTTCCTCCAGACTAGGCAGCCACAGAAACATCTTTTAGGGCACTCAAATGTCCACATCCACCCTGGAGACAGGCCCTGCCAGGCTCTCTAGCCTGCCCAGGGCTACAGTGCTGATGGTCACAAGGAGCCTGAGATCTAAAGGCCCAAGCCAAAGCTGTCACACCCCATGGAAAGAAGGGACTCTGGAAGATTGAATGGTTAGAGAATGAAAGCTTTTTACTCCCATGCTCAATGCTGCCACAGGCAAGAGCCCAAACACATGAGCTTCAGGCAGAAACTCAAGAGAGGCCTCAGGAAGCCTCAGCAACTGGTGAGTAGTGTGCGAGCCTGAGACCAGGGGCTTCCTAGAAGGAGGAGTTGAGGGGCTTCCCCCAACACAACCGACCAGTTGGCCCACTCCCTTATTGCCCCAGATGGCATGTTGCAGGAATGCATTGCAGCCACCACAGTAAGGAATGCAAGAGCACAGGAACAGGTGAAGGGCAGGGCCACAGACCTTGCATGGGTGTCAAGTGTCAGCCCTGGAGGGGACCAGGCCAGATGGATTTCCCCACTCAGGCCTGTGTCTTTGGTATGGGGTAGAGGGTGGATCATTGAGGAGTGAACCTGTCTTCTCCAAGTTCTGCTAGGCACATGGCTTCACGGGGCTGGGTTAAGTCTGGGTTTCTTGGGAGAAGCTTAAGAAGACCCTTCTGATCTTTTTCCACCCAATGCCACAGGAGTATCCCGAGGGCACAGTCCCTTACCTGGGCACCATCCTCACTCACCTGGCCTCACTGCACAAAGACAAACATTCAAAAGATGTGAGTGAACAGGGGCCCAGCCCTGGGAAAGCAGAGTGGGGACAAAGAGCCTCATGCTGCCCCTTGACCTCCAGCAAGAGCCCGTGTCCTCCCCAGCCCCAGAGTCCCACAGCAATGCTACTTCTGATGCCCTATGCCCCCAGACCTCAGTGCTGCTGATGACATTTGGCCATGTCTCAGAGGGAGGTCAGTGAGGGTGGCAGTGTGACAGCAGGTGCTCAAGCTGACATAGCATGTGGGAATAGCATGGCCTTGTCACTGGAAGCCTCAAGTCTCTGCCATGTGCACAGAGAGTTGAGCAGTGAGCTCCCTGTCCTCAGGACCTAGGCCTCCCTGCCCTAGACTGAGAGCAATCCTAATCCAGCTGTGCAGTCAGCCTGCCCTCTGCTGGACAGACTTGGTGGGGCACCAAGTGGTAAGGCAGCCTTAGGGTTCAAGCAGCATTTTCTTAGCACATTGATTCTTTGCCTGGATATGAATATGAAAAGACGATGAGAGGTGAGAAAATGGCACCTTCCACTGCAGGTGGCCGGCTGTGCAGGTCCCTTGTCTCTGTAGATGGCCACATTGGGTCCAGATGATGGGAGATGGGGCCCTAAGCCAGGGATCTAGGATAGCTTCCTGGGGGTGGACACCTGATCTCAGTAGAGACATGAGCAGAGTGTGTGAGAGAGAGACCCAAAGTCAGCTGCCTGGCCTACCCTGCACTCCTCCATCACCCTTCTGTCCTCTCTCTCAACCAGGAATACAAACTGATTGCACTCATGAAGAAACTGCAGCGCACATGTGAGGAGCTCCACGTGGTTCCTGACATGAACTTCGTATCTTGGTTTAACAATATGAACAACCTAGGTGAATTGGAAAGGTGAGCTGGGGTAGGCAGTGGGGGCAACAAACATGGGGATCCCCAGTGCCAGCCCCTGAGAGCTTGTACCCTGAGTCAGGCTCCCCCTGAGACCTGCTGAAGGCAGGGTGCTTGGGCTTCTGAGTCCCCAGGGCCCCTGGGAGGGAACCCCCAGGGTGGAGCCTGCTGTCCAACCAGCTACTTCTTGTCTTAGCTCCAAGCTCTCCAGGGAGCTGGAGCCTCCCCGCAGGGCAGGCTTCCTGAGCTGGAACAACAAGAGGAGCCCTCCCCTGAGGAAGTCCTCCAGAAAGTAAGTACATAGGCTTGCAGGGCCAGGGACTCCCCAGGGACTGGGTGGTGGGACAGGCAGCCCAATGAGCTGGGGCTGCCCTCCCACCTCCTGCCACACAGCCCCTTGTGTCTGGCTGGTGTGGCCTGAGCTCTGCCCACCTTACTTTCTTCATTGGGGTCCCATGGTGGACCTCACTCAGAAGATTGGGCAAATGGCTACTTGGATGTGAGCAGAATAAGGAAGGCCGCCTCAGGCCTAGGGGCAGTGGGTGTGGACAGCCCTGTGTGCTCAGAGAAGCCCTGGAATTAAGGCAGTCCCTCCATTCAGTTCCCAGGCGTCAAGCAGAGAGCTCAGCAGCAATAGCAGCTCCCAGTTGGAGACCTGTGAGCAGCTCAGCAGTGGGAGTGGCAGCCACACACCCAGCTTGTACTGGGGCTGCTCACCCAAGCCTTGTGCACACTGCAACCCATTATATCAGTCTGCCCCAAACATCTGCGGGGCAAACATGATGACAGAAGATGAGGGCATCTTGCCGTACCTGAGCTCCCAGACCTCCAGCAGAACTGGGCATCGGGCCCTATCCTAGGCTGCCCTTTCTTCAACTGAGATGTCTGCACTCCAACCATCGAAAATCACATTGTCCAGTGCATCGTGGGAAATGCATTGCGCAATGGGCAGAGTTTCAAATGTCATGGATTTCCCGTTGGGGAGGGTGGGCAGGTGATTTAGGTTAAAATATTAAGTTGAAACACTAATAGTCTCAAATTTTCTGCAAAAACATGGTTTTTGTAGGTGCATTTCTTTGCCTTAGTTAATGGCATAGTCTTCCACATATCCTACTTGAAGATGAAATCTTTTCAGGCTTGGAGGTCATATTTTGCAGAATGAGGAAGAGCAGGTCCTGCTTGGGGTTGGTTTGGAAGTGTTCTCATGGACCATTCCACAAGCCTTGAAATCTGAGTGTTGAAAAGACTCATTTGCAACAGCCATTGCAGAACTAGGAAAAGCTGACATTTTGTGAGCAATTTACTTTTACTATTTAAAATACATTATTTCATTCAACATTTGGAACTATCCTGGGAGACTATTAATCTGAGTATTCTAGTTTATAGAATGAGTAGGGATTAGCAGAGAGCCAGTGGTTCACACTCGTAATCCTATGAAGATTACTGATTACTCCTAATAGGAGACTGAGATCTCAAGATCACAATTTATGCTCAGACCAGACAGGAAAGTCTATTGGACTCTTATCTTTGGCTGTGGCTCAAGTGGTAGAGCACCAGCCTTGAGTGAAAAAGCTAAGCAAGGCCCTGAGTAGAAGCTCCGAATTCCAGAATCTTCCCCCAAAGGGAAAGATTAAGGATGGTGATGTTATAGAATTTTAAAGATTGCATCAAGATCTGGCTATTGGTGGCTCATGCTTGTAATCATAACTACTTGAGAGGCTGAGAATGAGAGGATTATGCACCAATTCCAGCACTGGCAAGAAAGCTTGTGAGACCCCTTTAAACCTATGCCTGTCATCCCATGCTATATGGGAGGCTGAGATTGGATGGGTCTTGGTACCTGACCAGCCTGGGACAAGCAAATCCCTGAGAACCCCATCTCCATGGAGGGAAGTGGGATGCAGTGATGCATGCTTGTGATCCCAGTCATGATGGTAGATCACACTTCTACCCTAAAAGTGAGTATGGGTAGGAAGCAAGACCCCATAGTGAAAATAGCTAGTGAAAACCAGGTTGGACAGGCTCAGCAAGACTCTGAAGTTCAACCCAGAGGGAGAGGGAGAAGGAGAGGGACAGGGAGAGGGAGAGGGGGAGGGGGGAGAGAGATTGCACCAGGCATATGGCTAGTCCAATGCCAGAGGCAGGATTAGGATAATAAATTCTAACTCCAGAGTCCAGTTTCCTATTCTTTGTGAAATGAGAACTAAGGACAAGAGGCAGTATAAAAATGAGAATTTTATCAATGCCTAAAGACATATATGGTCATTCTCATTTTGCTAATGATTTGGTAGCAATAATATCTGTGTTAAATAACCTTTAGCAATAATTTAGATAATCTTGCTGATAGCCGAGAACAAATCACTTACATGTGAGTTTTTTTATGCAAGTGGGAGGGGTACTGAAAAACTATATTCAACAACCTTCACTAAATCTGGAATATTTAAGACTAAATATTCTAATTACATTCTCTGATGCTACACTCAAAATATTAAAAAAGGAAGTATCTTAAGTGAAACTCATCTATTCCTGCATACTGGATTTATGAAAATTTGCATACCAGAATAGCTTTTGGGAATAGCTTAAAACAACACAAAGCTAAAAAAGTACCAGTGGGTTCCTTAAACATTTTCCCAACCTTTGAGCAATCCATTGCATCAGCCTTGAAAGCAAATTCTAATAAGAAAAGCTGAAATTCATCTTTTGCTTAAGAGATCAATCAATGTGCACTCAACAGAGAAAGGAAGTTGGGAGATGAGGCCTGCCCAGAACAGTTGCCTCCTCAAGACAAATGCCATTCAGCTGTGTACAGTAGCTGTTCTATTCTGAGAGCAAAGGGGACAACTCAGTCATGCAGAATGTTTAAGGTAGGCAGACAGGCAAGCCACCATCCACGCATATAGTCTTTTTTTTTTTTTTGTAAATGCTTTTGGGTTTTTATGAATCACATAGCATTGCACAAGAAGTACCTCAAGCTGGGGCTGGGAAGATGGATCAGTGGTAGAGTGCTTGCCTTGCATGCCTGAGGCCCTGGGTTCGATTCCTCAGCACCACATAAGCAAAAAGAAAAATGCCGGAGGTGGTGGTGTGGCTCAAGTGGTAGAGCGCTAGCCTTGAGCTGAAGAGCTGAGGGACAGCTACCAGGCCCAGAGTTCAGGCCCCACGACTGGACCCCCCCCCCCAAAAAAAAAAGAAGTACCTCAAGCTCTGGATAAATTTGTGGTTTTCATGGGGGAGATGGTTGCATTGGCTTATTTGCCAAGTGCCACTGGAATGACAGACACTCAAACAGGAAGTGAGGAGACTGAAAGGAAAGGTGATATGTCCAGAAAGGCTCGTGGCCAAAGTGTTATGGACAGGGTTTTCAATTTTCAAAGAAAATCTGTGCCCATTATTTCTGTTACAAAGGATAGAAGTAAAACAAACACAATTCATATACAGAGCTTTGGTGCTCTTGAGTATATATGTTTTCACTTGGCAAGTGATATCCAGACAGACTTCTGTTCAGAGCTGTTTAACATTTCATTCTATGGGTGCACTGAGAATGATTATATCAGTGTGGGAGACCAATGTAACCAAAGTATGGAATCATACTGAAAAACCAAAGAGTTAAAGCCATAAGGGACAGGCTGGCCTAGGACTGGAAAGGAATGAGTGTTAGCCAGTGCTTGGAAACATTTGTAGATGGGGGTAACTTTTAAAGTTTTAGAAATTAATAAAATAACTGACAGGAAATATTGGCCTAAAATGTGCAATGGGAATTTAGAAATTGCTACAGTATTTCAAGAAGACAATTTTGTGATATGTACCAACATATCCAACACATCCACTTTTTGATTCAACAATATCATTCCAGAGGGCTTTCTTCTTGTTGTTGCTGTTTTTGCCAGGGGGCTTGAACTCAGGGCTTGGGCACTGTCTCTGAACTTTTTTTTTTTTTGTCAGTTGTGGGGCTTGAACTCTGGGCCTGGGCGCTGTCCCTCAGCTCTTCAGCTCAAGGCGAGCGCTCTACCACTTGAGCTACAGCACCACTTCCTGTTTTCTGGTGGTTTATTGGAGATAGGAGTCTCACGGTCTCTCCTGCCCGGGCTGGCTTTGAACCGCAATCCTCAGATCTCAGCCTCCTGAGTAGCTAGGATTACAGGCGTGAGCCACCAGCACCTAGCTCTCTGAACTTTTTTGATCAAGCTAGCACCCTACCACTAGAGTCACAGTGCCATTTCCAGCCTTTTCTGTTTATGTGGTATGGAGGAATCGAACTCATGGCTTCCTGTATGCTAGGCAAACACTCTACCACTAAGCCACCTTCCCTGCCCCAAAGGTTTTCTTTCTTTTGTTGTTCTTGTTTTCGCTGGTGTGGGGCTTGAGCTCTGCACCTGGGTGCTCTCCCTGAGCTCTTCTGCTCCAGGCTATCACTGTACCATTTGAGCCACAGCACCCCTTCCAGTTTTCTGGTAGTTAATTGGAGATAGGATTCTCACAGACTGTCCTGCCCAGGCTGGCTTTGAACCATGATCCTCAAATCTCAGCCTCCTGAGTAGCAAGGATTACAAGTGTGAGCCACCGGTGCCCAGCACTGAAGGTTTTTTAAAATAACATTTTAATGTTTTGGCACTGGATATTGAACCTGGTGCCTCTCATGCTATACAAGTTCTCTATCACTGAGCTAAAGCCCAAACCAATTTAGGATATTTTTTGAAAAAATAGGGAATATGAAACAAAATAATAGAAAAATGTTTAAGCTGTATATGCAAAGATGTTCATTGGATCATTACTGATAATAAAGAAGAAAATGTTAACTAATTGATGATATAAAATTCTGTGGAGTAATTAATTCAGATTTAAAGTCATTTATTAACTCTGAAATAGCTTTCATATATGTCACTGAAAGCAGAGGCCAAGGAGCAGTATAATCAGAGATCTTTCGCCTTTATATTCATCTATACCTAACATTTCTGTCAGCTTTCTGTGGTTCTCACTATGTACCTGAGATGAGTGAGTTAAAGTGAGAGCAGGTTTATTTTGGCTCATGGGTGCAGAGGCTTCTGTCCATGGTGCTTGGCTTTTACTGTTTCAGGGATTGTAGAATGGTGTGTGGAGTAGAGGAACAAAGCTGTTTACCTTATGGCAGCTGAGGACAAGAGAGGATTGAGAGAGAGAGAGAAACAGAGAGAGACAGAAACAGAGACAGAGAAACAGACAGAGGGCAGACAGAGAGACACAGAGAGAGGCACACACATAGACAGCTTGGGGTCCCTCAGGGCTTGCCCCCAATTACCTAACTTCCTTCCATAAGGCCACACCTCTCAGAAGCTCTCAATAGCAGCACAGACTCATGACCAAGCCTTCAGAACACCCCATCCCATCCCACTGATTCTTACAAAACTGTCACCACAGTGGTGGTTTGTTTTACTCAAAAAGTAAGGTGGCTGGGCACCCATGGATCATACCTGTAATCCTAGGTACTCAAGAGCCCAAGATCTGAGGATTGTGGTTGGAAGCCAGCCTGGGCAGCACAGTCAGTGAGACTCTTATCTCTAATAGTCCACCCAAAAATCCCTCTGAGGAAGTGGCGCTGTGGCTCAAGCGGTAGAGCACTTGCCTTGCGCTGAAGAGTGCAGGGACAGCACCAAGGCCCAGAGTTCAAGCCCCATGACCGACAAAAACAAAAACAACCCCCCCCCAAAAAACCCAAAAAACCCTCTGAAAGTGGAGCTGTGACTCAAGTGGTAGAATGCTAGTTTTGAGCACAAAACCTGAGGGACAGTGCCCAGGCCCTACACACACAAATAAGGTGGTCAGCCTTATTCAAAGGAAGTTTCGGTAAATAAATACATGCAATTCCCTTGTTCACTCCTGTAGAATGTACTAAAATACAGCAGGGGTCAGGTCTTGTTGAAGCACAGTCCCTGCTCCTAAATGACACTAAGTATGTACCTAGTAATATCAAATTAGTTCACGTTCAGCATCTGTACGTCTGCAATCACTTATATCACTTGCCAATTCTGCTTCACTCCTATGACAGCAAAGAT